AAAAAAACAGAACTGAATATATGAAGCTCTGGGTTCTATTCCCAGCACTGAACAAAAATAAATAAATAGAAGACAACTTACAAAAAAAAAGTCTACAGACTGATTGTTAGATTGGGAAGATGCTTAACAATAAAACAGAAAAGCCATTACAAACCAAATACAGAAAAAGAGAGATTACACAAACTAAGAAGTAACAGAAAATCATTAAAAGAGAACATTTTTAAATCCTAAGAGACTATGTTGAACAGTTTTGTATAAATAATGTAAAAATTTAGTTGAATGGATAATTTTGTGGAAAAATGTAATTTACCAAAGTTGATTCCATTCAAGATAGAAAGTCTAAATAGACCACTGTACAAAGAAGAAATAGAGAAAACTATCAGATTTTTCCCCTCAAAAGGTTTCACAGAGATTCTATAAATCATTTTGTTGTTGTTGTTGTTTTAGTGTTTTTTTTTCTTAACAAGGGATTGAATCCAAGGGCATTTAAATACTCAGCCAYATCCCCAGTCCCTTTTATTTATTTATTTTTTTAATTTTGAGACAGGGTGTCTAACAGCCTCTCCAATGATAAATTCTAGCAACATTTAAGTAAGAGCCAAGTTGCTGAGGCTGAATTTTAACTCACAATCCTCCTGCCTCAGCTTCCTGAGCCACAAGAATTACAGATGTGTGCCACCTATCTGCAGAGATAGAGGGATATTTTACAATGAATCCACCAGGAAAACAAAAGTTATATATGCATCTAGTAACAGTACATGCATGCATATGTACACACATATGGAGACGGTGCTAGAAATTGGATCCAGGGGGGACATGCTAAATATGTGCTCTACCACTGAGCTAATCACCTTGTCCCAGAGCACCAATATGCATGAAGCAAAAAATGACAAAGAAATAGACAATTCAACAGTAAGAGTTGGAGGCTTTATTGCCCCCCTTTCAATACGCAGTAGAGCTAGGCAGAAAATCACAAGGAAATAAACTTGGACAGTACAATTAGCTAGCTACCAGACAGGGAACAATGAACAGAACAACAGAAAATATATTTATCAAGTGCATATGGAAAATTCTATACTACAGCATAAAACAAACCTCAGTGAATATAAAAGGATAAAAATAAGAAAAGGATGTCTAAGCATAATGAAATTAAAATTAGAAATCAATAACTGAAGGAAAATGGAAAATTCACAAATATGTGGAAATTGAACTGTGCATTCTTAACCAATGGGATAAAGAAGAAATTACAAATGGAATTAAAACATACTTTGAAGTAAGTGCTTAGAGGAAAATTTATAGCTCAGCAGTATGCTGTTTTTAAGTCCTTTGGGTATAAACTGAGGAGTGGGATAGCTGGGTTAGATGGCGGTTCCATTCCAAGTTTGCCAAGTAATCTCCATACAGTTTTCCATATTGGTTGCAACAATTTACTGTCCCACCAGCAATGTATGAGTGTGCCTTTTCCCCCACATCCTTGCCAACACTTATTGTTGTTTGTTTTTATGCATATTATGTATTTATTCAAAATAAATAAAAAACGCTACCCAATAGTAAGACAAGCAACCAATTTTAAAACTGAAAATAAAATTGACACGTCTTTAAGAATGATAAATAAGGGCATGAGAATATGCTGAAATTAATAGTCATCAGGAAATGCAGATCAAAATCACAATTTGATACCACTTTTCATCCTCTAGATAATGAAAACTCTAAAGATTGACAGTAGAAAGTGTTGAAGGGGATGGTCCATGCCTATAATCCCAGCATCTTGGGAGGCTAAGACAAGTGGATTGAGAGTTCAGAGCCAGCCTCAGCAACTTAGCAAAGGCCTAAGCAACTCATCAAGCTCAGTCTCTAAATAAAATATTAAAAAGGGCTGGGGATGTGCTCAGTGGTAGAGTGCCACTGGGTTCAATCCTTGGTACCAGAAAAAGAAAAGAAAGACATATTGAAAGGAAATGAAATAGCTAGATGTTTCATACAATACTGGTGAGAATATAAATGGTATAACCACTTAGCAAAGCAGACTGGCAGTTTCTTGCAAAATTAAATATGTACTTATATGACCCACCAATTACTCTACTACATATTTCCTAGCATAAGTGAAGGCATAATTGTTCACAAAAAGACTTGAACAAAAACACTTATATCAATTTTATTCACATCAACCAATCTGGAAACAACCTAAATATGCATAAACACATGAATTGATGTACAAACACATACATTCATAAAAAAATATTATTCAGCAACAAAAAGAAATACTGTTATAGAAAAGAGCATAGATGAATCTTTTCAAAAACATCATGCTGAGAGACAGATTAAAAAAGTACACCTGCTGTGTGATTCTATTGGTGACTCTGTGGGCTCTTGTGCTGTTAGAAGAATCAAAGGCAGACTGGCACAGAACAAGGCTTTTTATTCTCAAACTTGAGTACAAAGAAAGGCAGCACATAAGAGATAGAAACTCCAGCCTGGCTTAAACAAAGGACAAAGCTGTACAGAATTTTTATTTTATTTTATTTTATTTATTTATTTTTGGTACTGGGGCTTGAACCCGGGGTACCCTTTTCATTTTTTATTTTGAAACAGGGTCTCATTAAGTTGCTTAGGGCCTTGCTAAGTTGCTGAGGCTGGCTTTAAACTTCTGATACTCCTGTCTCAGCCTCCTGAGCCGCTGGGATAGCCATCCCAACTGTGCCTGGCAAGATTGGTGTACTTTTTAAGTCCCCATTTATGGTATCTCTGTTAACCCCATAAGACTAAGGACTGTCTTCATCTCAGTTTCACTTATATGGAACTCTAGATAAGCAAGACTCATACACAGGACTACTCTATAGTGGCAGAATATAAATTAGTGGATGCTTCACCTGGGGAGTAGGGATAGGGCATGATTGAAGAAAGTCATAGGAACATTGGGGGCAAATTGGATAAAAATAGTCTATAGCTTGATTATGATGGTTTAACATTTGTTAAACCTTATCAAACAATTCACTTAAAAATATGTGCATTTTATTGTATTTAAGTGAAGCTCAACAAAGTGTTGTTTGTTTTTGTGGTACTGGAGATTGAACCCAAGGGCATTCTAGCCCTGAGTGACACTCCCAGCCCTTTTTATTTTTTATTTCCTTTTAAATTTTTTGTTTTGGGACATGCTCTTGCTAAGTTGTTGAGGGTCTCACTAATACCCTGAGGCTGAGGCCTCCAACTTGAGATTTTGAGTCACTGGAATTACACATATGTGTCACCATATCCAGCAGTAAAGTTAATTTTTAAAAAATGAAACAGACCCACCCACTTTTGAAATAAAAAGTTCCAAACTTTTAGCTTCTGAACATCCTCATACTGAGGAAAGATAGGAAGAAACTAACACCAACAAGTTCTCAGATGTGGAGCTTAACTAAATCTACACATGCATATCAACTGATGTTTTTCTTATAAATTGGAGCAGCTTCTATAGGACCAGCAGAGAAACAATCCAGCTGCTTCTCCCCGGTTTAATCAAACTGTATAAAATTATTTTTTTCCCATTTTCCATTGTCTATTTCTTATAAAGGTGGTTGGCTGAACACTACAAGCAAGCCTGGATGCAAGCAGTTCCCAGGCTAGGCTGCAGGTAGCAAAAACACTTGCTGGCATGGTGGCACACACTATAGCGCCAGCTACTCTGGCAGTTAAGAGGGGAGAATCACTTGAGCCCAGGAGTTCAAGATTAGCCAGGGCAACATAGTGTAACAGGGTCTGTTTCAAGCCTTGAACATAAACTTTGCTGCTCTACTACTGTTGCTTACTTTGTTTTATTTTTATTTTTTGGTTGTAGTTGGATACAGTACTTTTATTTCACTTATTTATTTTTATGTGGTGCTGAGGATGGAACCCAGGGTCTCGCACATGCTAGGCGAGTGCTCTACCGCTAAACCACAACCCCAGCCCTTGTTACTTACTTTAAAACTGACATTTTCCCCTCTTTTTTTTTTCTCTCTCCCACCCTAAGCTTGGGGAAAACAAGCCTGCAAAATGAACTATGTCTCTGACAGAGCACAGCTAGAAAGTAGCCTTTCAATCATTTCTCTAAAAGCCCTGTCAGAATCACAGCCTCGCGGACTGGAGTCCCCTGTGTTTCTTCTTTGCTAGCAAAGCAATAAAACTTTTTCCTTTTCCTCAAAACCTTGTCCTCATTATTGGATTAGCATTGCGGACAAGAATGGGGCTTTCCTTATAGAGAGCTACTGACCCCTGTCTCAAACACATGCACACACAGAAATAATTCGCAAACCATAAAATAAGCTCTTTGAAGGTGTACAATTTGATTTCTTTGGGTATTTTACAGAGTTGAGCAAACAGCATTATTATCCATTTCAAGAATATTTTAATCCCTCCCCCAAAGAAGCCCTATATCTATTATCAATCACAATGTCCCCTAGCTCTGCAGTCCTTAATACCTAATATACTCCGTGTTTGTATTTATTTGCCTAGCCTGTATAATTCCATACAAATAGAATCGTATATCCTATACTACGGCTCAGCTTATCACCCTAGGAATGCAAAATTGGAGATTCTGTGAGCCAGCCTGAGACTTCGGAGTTGGTTACAACAACTAGAAAGGTTCAGGACCCAGGTAATGTCGGTCTTCACCGTCAGCAGCTCAGCTGAGAAAGCCTGTAAAAGCAACTTTTTCTCCTCTTGGCCGTGCGACTTATGTTTTCCGGCGCTTGACTACATTTCCCAGAAGTTCTTGCGGCTCCACTCATTTCCATCTGAACAGTTTCCAGGGAACAACCTGAGATTGGCCTGTGCATTTGAGGAATCTTGTGGACAGGATGGCTGTCCGGCTTTGTGTGGGCTTTTACCTTGAAGACTTCCTAACCACCACGGAGACCCAGGGCCAGACTCTGGCGGTGCGAGGGGAGGAGTTAGAGGATGGGCGTCATCTTCCCCACGAGGGGCACTTGCGGACTACATTTCCCAGAAACCCCCGCGAGGACGGGGCGGCCGCTTCATTTGCCTGCGGGACCCTCGGCCTCCAGGGCAGGGAAAGTGCGCAGCGAGCGGCCTAGGCACCCGGGGCCCCACTAGGCTGCGCAGGAACATCCCTGGGCGTCTGAAGGGACATTCGTGGTAGGTCTGGGATGTCAGGAACTTGGGACTGGCTCTGGCCAGGGGAGCGGTCGCGAGGTGTGGGCCTCTGGGTGTGGTTGTGACCTTATGTGACTGTGGGGCGCAGTGTGTGTGCGGATGTGATTTTATGTTCCTCTGGTGGGTGTGTCGTTGTGACTGACCGTGCGCAGAGCTGTGTGTGCCTGTGTGACTGCACATTCCTGTAGTTTTGTTAACAATGTGATCGTGTCCCCGAGGTTGGACCGATTGTGTGTGACCTTATTCACTTTGTGTGACATGTGGATGTGGGGGTGGGCGTGGAGAATCTGCTTMTGCATCTGTGATTGTTACTCTGAGAGGTTTGTGTGCGTCATTGTATGAATGTTAGAACCACTCCGTGTACTGGATGCCTGTGACTATGTGAGAATGTGTGAAAGTGATTATGTAACTGTGTGTGGCCCTGTGATGCTTGTGCCAGGGTAACGGATACATGGCCATTGTGTTATTTTGAATGTATGATTGTGTGTAGTGCCCAGTAGGAGAACTGGAGGGAATTGTGGGTGCGTGGCTCTAGTGAATGTGATAGTCACTCTGTAGCGCGGTATGATTTTGTGTGGTGTTGTGTTGGAGGGGTCTGTTAATGTGTGGATGTGATTGTGTATCCTTAGGGTGGACTGTGTGTGAGCACAGTGTACTGGTATTATTTGGGTGATGTGTTCCTGAGAGGACAGATGGGGTTCACCTATAGTGGATAAGTGACTGCAGCATTGGAAATATAGGTGTTGAGTGCCTGTGACTGCCTTGTGATTCCAACTCTCTATCCTAAAAGGTCCTTGTGAGTTCAGGACAAATTCTGATCTTGGACAACTTAGACTTCACTCCTCTTCTCAAACCAGAATGCTCAGGATAGCCCAGATTCCTCTGACCTCCTTCTTTTTTCTTCTTTCCATGGTGGTAGTTGTGGGTTCAGAGTGAGCTCTAATCAGGTCCGTCTAAATCACACACAAAAAAAATGCCTGGCATCTCATAGTTCTTTTTTTCTTACTCATCTCTGCCTTTCCAGAGGTACCCAGAGGAAGAAAGAGAAATAGTTGTTGATCAAGCCAAATATAAGGTGCATTGGGGTTTGAGTTTTGCTTTTCTTCTTTTGGATGGTCTGACTTAACATAGACTCATTAAGTGTCCTGGTTCTCAAATTTGTTCCATCTGAGAAAATGATGGGAAACCACAGGGTGGATGTACAGATTCCATTTTTCTCCCTTTCTTCTACATAATGTTCACATATTAATTTAGAAAATAGATAAGGTTTTTTCCTGTGTACTAAGTTGTTTTTAAGCACATATACACACCTGAAGCATGATTATTTTTAAAAATTTGGAAAACAGGAAGTTACAAAGGGCAAAAGATAATGCCTGCCCCCTAAAAATAACCACTGTCAATATTTTGATCTATTTCCTTCTTATAAATTCCCCATGTATGTATAGTATATATCATTCTTAAAAATATTTTTAGTTGTAGGTGGACACAATACCTTTATTTTATTTATCTTTTTTTTTTTTATGTGGTGCTGAGGATCAAACCCAGTGCCTTGCATGTGCTAGGTGAGCACTCTATCACTGAGCCACAACCCCAGCCCCAAGAGTTAGGTTCTTTTTAAAAAGGTATCCATGGGCTTGGGTTGTAGCTCAGTGGTAGAGCACTTGCCTAGCATGTGTGAAGCACTGGGTTCAATTCTTAGCACCACATATAAATAAATAAAGTTCCATCGACAACTAAAAAAATATACAGTTATAAAAAAATGCTATCCTGACTCAACTTCGTTACTCATTAGGAAAATACAAATCAAAACCAAAGTGAGATAACCACTGTACAGCTACCAGGATGACAATTAAAAAAAAAAAAAAAAGACAGGCAATAGTGTCAATGAACATTTGGAGAAATTGCACTTTAGAAAACAGTTTGGCAGTTATTAAAAAGTTACATAATTACCATACAGTTCTACTCCTAGTTATATGTCCAAGCATATTGAAAACATATTCACATAAAAACTTGTACCTGAATGTTCATAGCAGCATTTTTCAAAATAGCCAAAAAGTGGAAATTTCCCAAATGCCTATCAACTGAAAAATGGATAAACAAAATGTGACATATTCATAGTGGAATATTATTTGGCCGTAAAAAGGAAGGGAGCTCTGATACAAGCTACAACATTGATGCACCTTGAAAGTATGCTAAATAAAATAATCCAGTCATAAAGTTTATATATAATACCATTTATATGAACTGAAAACATGTAGGCAAGTTTGTAGAGGCAGAAAGCAGATTAGTGGTTACTTAGGGATAGGGAAAATGGATAAATGGAGACTGGCTGTTAATAAGTGTTTTGTTTATTTTGTTTTAGGAGAGAAGAAAATGTACTAAAACTACATTGTGATGAGTACACTAAAAACACTGACTTGTACACTTCAGGTAGGTGACTTAAAGTGATCTTTACATATGGTATATCTGAAAGCTCTTAAAATAAAGGTAACCTAAAATTAGTGGGTAGGAGTCTAGGTAAAATAATATTGACTATAACAATAATTGTTGAATCTGTTTAGTAGACTCATGAGGGTTCTTTGTACTTTTTAAAGTACAAAGAATGTTTCCAAACATTCTGTGTATGTTTGGAAACTTGTGTGTTAAAAAGGTATTAAAGCCAGGTATGGYGGTGCACCCCCGTAATCCCAGCAACTTGGGAGGCTGAGGCAGAAGGATTGCAAGTTTCAGGCCAGCCTCAACAATTTAGTGAGACCCTAAGAAAACTTAGTGAGACCCTATCTCAAAATAAGACACAAGGAAGATCTATAGAATAGAAGAAGGGGGCTCAAGAGAGAGAGAGGAAGGATACGAAAGGGGAAGAAATGTGGAATGAATTTTTAAAAATCATGTTATGCACATATATAAATATACCACAGGGAATTTTACCTTTATATATAAGTAGAAAGAACCAATAAAAATAAAGAAATAAACAGGAGCTGTGGTGCATGCCTATAATCCCAGCAACTCAGGAGGCTCAGACAGGAGGAACACAAGTTCCAAGCCAGCCCTGCAATATATCGAGGAACTAAGAACTTACTGAAACCTGTCTCAAAAGAAAAGATAAAAAGGGCTGGGGATATGGCTCAGTGGTTAAGCACTTCTGGATTTAATCCCTGGTAGGATGGAAGGAAGGAGGGAGGAAGGAAGATGAGCCTAGGTAGATTAGTAGAGAAAGGAGAATGATGGGAAAGAGAAGGAGAGGAGGAGGGAGGATGACCCAAACTGAAAAAGAATTCCATGAATGAACAAATTTGTCAAGATGAACCCAGCTGGTCTAAAGCATTAACTATGGGGTTAGTAGCTCAGCAGTAGGGTGCCCCTGGGTTCAATCTCCAACCATAAAAACAAATAAGCTCTAATATCTAATAGGTGAAATAATAAAAYCATTCTTATTAAAATCAGGGAGAAGCACTATCAACATTTTATTTAAGATATTTTTCATAAAGCTWTTACAAAAATAGTACCACATGGGAAACTAGAAAACAATTGCTTTATTTCCGATAGCAACTTAGCCAGGCCCTAAATTCAACAAGACCCTTTCTGGAAAGAAAAAAAAATCAAATGGTCTGCAAATGTGGCTCAGTGGTTAATCAACCCTGGGTTTGATCCTCAGTACAAAAAAAAAAAAAAAAAAAAATCTAGTAATAATGTGAATAAGAAATGAGCATGATCCATATGAAAATTTTTTTGTGTGTTCCTGAAGAACACAGACATTGACTTTAATAAATAGACAGTTATTTTGTGTTCAAGGAAAACAAGACTCAAAATCATAAAGATGTGAGAACTCCTGAAGTTAATCTTTTCATTCTCTCTCCCCTCCTTATTTTRTGCTGGGRATTAAACACAGGACCTCACACATGCTAAGTAGGCACTCTACCACTGAACTATACCCCCAACTCATAAGCTTTTCTTTTTATGCTGTCTCAAGAAAAATACCTCTATAGTTTTTTAAAACTATATGGAAAAGCAAGTCAAAAGTTTCCTGGCATTTATTTATTTTGGTGCAGCTAAAACCTGGGGTTTCTAGAATTGAGAAAGAAGTAGTATTTGTTCCATGCTCCCAGAGTAGAGTTGTAGATCAAGGGAAGTAGAAGTGGTTTTATCTGACCATCCTGAGAACTATAAGGTCATTGCAGTATCTAGAGTATTTCTTTGTTTCCCTAGTCTTGCCTTCTCAGAACAGTGTCTTTTCTCAGGAGAACAGCCTTGAGGACTGATCTTTTCCTGCAATACTGAAAGCCATGGCTGAGGTGAGTCAATGCATTTTCTTTCTTGCTGACATTTACTTACTTTAAAAAAAGGAAAAGAAAGAAAGAAAGAAAGAAAACGTGAGCTAGACACAGTGGCACATACCAGAATCCCAGCTCCTTGGGAGACTGAGGTAAGAGTATTGCAAGTTTGAGGCCAGTGTGGGCAATTTGGCAAGACCCCTCTGCCAAAGAAAAAAAAAATGATGTGTGCATTTCCTTTCTTTATCCTGACATTTTTKGATAACTGTTCCTCTTCAGGATCCTGGTCCCCATTCCCTCTCATACTAGCTAGATAATCCTATACCATTCCTCAGTGTCCTTTTTTTTTTTTTTTCAATCAGCATTATTATTTCTTTTAGTAAATAACTGARCATCTTTTTTCTCAGCCTTCTCCCAGGGACTGTGATGGAGAGAAAATGTATCTATTTAGAGAAATAARAGTAGATTTGTGGGGCTGGGGACATAGCTCAGTTGGTGGAGGGCTTGCCTTGCATACACAAGGTTCAATTCCTAGCAATATAAAGGAAAGAAACAAAAATTGAGTAGATTTCTAAAATGAATTTTTCCTTTCTGGACTGTGATTTGATAAAATAGAGCTATGAGTAGCTTAGCTAGGAACAAGCATGGAAAAAGCCAAGATTATGTGTACATACTGTCATTTTCCAATAGGATAAGATGAAAGGTGGTGTTGGTAGCTCCAAATGTTAGATTTTTGAAAGATCTCCTAGTTTATGAGGTGTTGGAAATCATGGAGTCACTGGCTGATATGGATCTCTGAGACTTTGTTAGGGCATTTTGTAATAGTTTTCTGTTACTATARCAAACTACCTGAGATAATCAACTTGTAAAGCAAAAAAGTTTTATTTTGTCTCAGTTTCAGAGGTTTCATTCCATGATCAAATGACACTATTGCTTTGGAGCCTGTGGTGTGGCAGCCTATTGTGTCAGGGATAATGTGGTAGAGTAAAACTGTTCACCTCATTGAAGGGAAGAAAAACAGGAGGGAAAGACTGGACTTCCAATAGTCCCTTCAAGAACATACTCCCCAATGTCTAGAAGACTTCTTCATGGACCTGTTTTTCATATTTCCCAGTAGTTCCCAGCTGAGAACTAAGCCTTTAATCACAGGCCTTTGGGAGATATTTAAGATCCATACTGTACCAGTATCCATTAGACAAGTCCAATTTGAAGGTAATAAGAAGTTTGTGACATGATGAATTTCTCTATGAATCATCAATTTTCTTTTATCTCAGAAATAAGGATAGAAATGATAGGTGACTATAATGAGTTTGGCAAATGCCTAAGTTGTTGAGATCATTCTATCAAAGCTCAGAAGGACCTTATAATTCTTGTCCAGTAGTATATGTTGTAAGAAATTCTGCCACAAGAAAAATAAAGAATTTATATTAATAGGAAATCATTTTTATGGCAATGAATCACAGGAGTGAAGTATAATTTATGTATTTATCAATTTTTCTTTTCTTT